CTGTCCTTGGGTTTAGGATGAGGGATTATTGCTCTGTGACAGTCCCTACCTTATAGGGTTGGGAAGATTCAATAAAATAATAGTCAATGTTGGTTGTAGGGTTATTATCCCTACTTTACAGGAGACCGAGGCCCATAGATTGCTTAAGCTTCTGAGTACCAGAGTAGAGACTTAAGCCCAGCTCTTCTCTCGAAGGTCCAAGAGTTAGGCTCTGAGGATCAGTTGTGGGGCTAGGCTGTCCCCCACCTGATCTGCTCATCTGGGTACTGGGAGAGATTTATCCATCACCCCTGGCTTTGGATTGGGATGGGCTTTGGCCGAGGGTTAGTGCCATCACATCCCAGAGGTTCTGGGCCATGCCACCCCAGGTCCTGCCCCCACCTCTGGTGCCCGTGGTTCCAGTCAGTCTGGTGGGGGGCACCAATGACAGCAGCAGAAGGCTGGATCCAGCCCCAGAGCCCCAGAAAGACCACACTCTGAGACAGCAGGGGCCGTTAGCCTCTCCCAGGCCCGCAGAGCACCCTGTAGCTTCCACCAAGCCAGCAGGTAAGACAGGGGCAGGGGTGTTGGGGTTGTGGAGAGTTAGGGAATTCCCAGTGCACTGTGGGTAGAGGGACATAGAGGAGTCAGGCTTTCAGTGGCAGGGTCCTCTCTTGGAGGATAAGATGCTTTTATTCTGACAGTAAGAAACAGGGAGTGGTGGCTCTTATCGTGATAAAAAGACCCACATTTTTACCATAGTGATGTGAAGCATAAGAGAGGATGAGCTCTTACTTTGATGAAGGGGCAGAGGACATATAAGACCGCTACTTTGGTGAGAATTTGGGCAGGTTTAGACTGATTTGTTCAGGACTTCTCTTCTGGTGAGATGACAGAACCAGAATTTAAGAACCTTAGGCTTCACATGTGCTCTGGTGAGAGAAGAAGGACCTAGAGTCTTAGATGAGAAGACGGGTATTGGGACTCTGTATTCTGGTGAGGGAATGGCAGAGGCAGGACTTCTATCCTGCTGGTGAAACCAGGAAGAATAAGGATTTTTACTTTCGTAAGAGATTGGTTGGCTCAGGCTGTCTCCCCCATATCCCTGTGCCCACAGGCCCATGGCAGGACTGTGCAGAGGCCCACCAGGCAGGCCATGGGCAGAGTGGAGTGTATGAGCTGCGGCTGGGGCGGCATGTGGTATCAGCCTGGTGTGAGCAACAGCTGGAGGGTGGTGGCTGGACCGTCATCCAGCGGCGGCAAGATGGCTCTGTTAACTTCTTCACTACTTGGCAGCACTACAAGGTGGGTGGGGGGCAAAGGCAGGGCTTGGGCAGGGGAGGGGGCCTGCACCTGACCTCCTGACTTTCTTGCCCAACCAGGCAGGCTTTGGGCGGCCTGATGGGGAATACTGGCTGGGCTTGGAGCCCATGCACCAATTGACCAGCCGTGGGGACCATGAGCTGCTCGTGCTCCTGGAAGACTGGGGGGGCCGTGGGGCACGCGCCCACTATGATGGCTTCTCCTTGGAACCTGAGAGTGACCACTACCGCCTGCGGCTCGGCCAGTACCACGGGGATGCTGGCGACTCTCTCTCCTGGCACAATGATAAGCCCTTCAGCACTGTGGATAGGGACCGAGACTCCTATTCTGGTAAGGAGTGCTCTTACTCTTGTGGTGGTTAGGGCAGGGGAGTTAGGACTCTCGTTGGAATGTGATGGAATACAAGGGAGTGGGCTAAGACTCCTCTCTGCTAAGGGTCAGGGCAAGCAAGCTTCTATTCTGGCAAAGAGAACAGGGATGGGACTTTTATTCTGGTGAGGGGTTGGGAAGCCCAGATTCCTTCTCTGATACGGAAGTAAAAAGTCAGGACTTCTTTCTGGTAAAGGGCAGGGGTGAGAGCTAGGACTCTTTCTAGAAAGGAAGTAGAGATTTATTTTCCCTGATAAAATGAGAGGTAGAGCCTCTAGCTTACAGAAAGGCTGGAAAAGGCAGGACTTGTATTTTGGTAAGATAACAGAATGAAAGCTATTACTCTGAAGAAAGTAGGGGGCCCGGGCTCCTGTTCTGGTGAGGAGAGGATCAGGGCTTTCATTCAGTTAAGAGAGGGGAGGGTCAGGGGATGCCTGGCAAAAGCTTGCACTAGTGAGCTGTTGGCAGAGGCTTTTATTCTGGTGAGAGGACATGGACTCTTTGCCCTTCAGGTAACTGTGCCCTGTACCAGCGGGGAGGCTGGTGGTACCACGCCTGTGCCCACTCCAACCTCAATGGTGTGTGGCACCGTGGTGGCCACTACCGCAGCCGCTACCAGGATGGCGTCTACTGGGCCGAGTTCCGTGGTGGGGCGTACTCTCTCAAGAAGGCTGCCATGCTGATCCGGCCCCTGAGGCTGTGACCATCTGTCTGTCTGTCCCCCAGGGTGTTTGTCAGTAGGAGCCCAAGTTGTGCTGGCCACACCTTCTTTGTGGCTGACTGCTGGCAATGTCCCTAAAACCCTCCCATATGGATCTGCTCCCTAGGGCCCTGCAGACGGGACCCAAGCATCCCCCTGCCAATACCTCAGACCCAGACAGCTCCCCAAGGGCATTTATATCTTGGTTTGAGCGCATATTTTATAAGAACACAAAGTATCCACAGACCGTGTCTGGTTTGCATCTGCTCCTGGCAGGGGTCACGCCCCGTGCCCGCCCTCTTCCTCCTCCTCCTCCTCCTCCTCCTCCTCCTCCTTCAGGTCCTCCAGGATGAGGTTGTCCAGGTCTTCCAGGAGGCCCCCCTGGCTCAGACAGGTGGCCACAGTGGAGCCACTGCTGATGTGGAGGCTGCTGGGGTGGAGGACTTTGGGCAGGTGGTTCTGCCTCCGGCTCTTGGGGTGTGCACAGGATGTCCCAGGCACGTGAGGCTCTGGGGAGGGAGAGGTGCTGAGGTCATGAGGCTTAAGGCCGCGTGGAACTCTGGGGATGGAGGGGGCTGAGACCACATGGGACTCTGCGGCCACGTGGGGCTCTGAGGTCACTGGAGACCAAGATACATGGGAGGAATATGGAAATTCAGAGGTGGCGCCATGGGTGTGGAAGCCACAGGAGACCGAGGGGACGAGGACATAGGGATCACCTGACTCTACAGGAGACAAAACAGAAGCAAGAACAACACAGAAACCACAGGGCAGAGACCACAGGCCTCATGAACAAACCCTAAGTGTGGAACAGGCTGACGCCCTGGAGGTGGATAGAGGAGGGGCAGGGACCCTGGGCGGCATGGGGCCACGGGGATGGGAGCTGTGGAAGACACGTGTGTGGAAGGAGGGGCTGATGCCATGGGAGGTAGGTGGAAGGAAGAGACAGACCTTGGTTCTCAAGGCCACAGAGGTGGATGTCCCCAGAGCCAAGGCCAAGGAGACTGCCTAGAATGGGGGAGGCCGTGGGGGTGCGCCAGGGCCTCACCTCGCCGGTTGTAGCAGTCGGCAGCTGAGCAGGAATGGGTGTGGGTGCTGCGGCGCTCTGTGTCCCGGTCCCAGCGCGGGGGGAGGATCCGTGTCGGATACACGGGGAAGCCGCACCCGTAGCAGGGGGACGGGGACCCCATCTGTGCCCAGCCCCTGGGGGCGGGCAGGGCTGTGAGGGTCCCGGTCCAGGCCCAGATGGGACTGCTGAGGGTGAGGCTGGGCCAGGGTGGGGCCGGGGCAGGGTGGGAAGGGTGGGGGTGGGGTAGGGCTGAGGGTGGGCCGGGGTCAGCACCCTCACCGGAAGTTGTGCCGACACTTCGGGCAGTGGAACTCAGCCAGACCCCACATCTTGTCACCCGGCACCGGCTCGTAGCGCTTCCGGCATTTCCGGCATCGGGATACCTGGGGTGCAGAAGGGAATGGGCTTATAGTCAGCCAGGGGTGGGGTGAGCACTGGGGCCAGGAGCAGGGCTCTGGGGCTGGGATCAGGAAGTGATGAGCTGGGGTGCCCTGTGTCAGCTTGACCAGGCTGACCCTGGGCATCTTCTCCTTTCCACCACCGTCAATGACTTCAAGTCAGTAGCATGATGTTGGCCATGGTGGGAATACTTACACCATTGGAATTGGCATACACTACAAATCAAGGCCTCCTCTCTGGGACTGGTTGTATGGGTTGAAGAGGCCAGAAATCAGACAAGGGGTGGTGGTTTTATTTCTGTGGTGGCTGTCAAACAGTGGGGTAAGGGGTTGGGCTTCTCCGAAGGTCAGAAGTCCTGCTCTGGGTGGGGGATTGGGCTGTGTTCAGTCAGCTCAGAATGAGTTAGGGACACCCCACCCTCCTGGGGGGCCAGGGCCCTGTCCCCTCTCTGGACCTCAGATTGAGCTCTGAGGTTATACATCAGGCCTTAAGGGATGGGCTCGCAGAGGTTGAAGTTCTTAGGTCAGAGGATGGGGATGGGCTCAGGAATGAGATTATCACCTCCTTCCGCTGGGGCACACAGCGCCACCAAACATGGTCACAGGAGGGGCAGGCAAACTGCCGGTCCACGGCAGGGATCAGGTCATCCTGGGCGCGTTGGAACATGCGCAGGTTGGCTTTTGTCAGTGGCAGGAGGGAGGTCGCCACCGCCTGCAGAGTAGGGGTGGGTGGGGATGAGAAGGGGGTCCCCTCTCCTCTACAAACATAAATATATGTGAGCTCGCCCCTGCCCGTGGACATTGCCCCTACCCCTCCCTCTTGCCATCCCACAGCCTGGCCTCTCCCCAGCCACCGACTCACCTGGATGTCCCGGTCCTGCTTCATGTCCTCCGGTGGATCCTAGATGGAGACATCAGGGATAGAAACTGGGGATGGGGCTCAGGCCTCTGTCACCCTCATTGGTTGGTGGAAGGGCTCCTGCTCTGGGGTCCAGAGAGGGAGGCAGGGACCCTGGGCCCCCATGAGAGGAGGGTGCCCCTAATTCCGATGAGCTGATTGAGCAGCACCCACTCACTGAGAGCCAGGTGCGTAACTGTGCACCTGTCACCTCTGCTGTGCTCACATCACAGCGGCCCTGGGAAGTGTGCACACCTGTTATCCCCACTGCCCAGATAGGGAGACTGAGGCTCAGAGCCAGGAGAGGGGTTGCTAGAGATCAGCCTGAGTCAGGGTGGAGGAGCAGGCCTGGGCCCCATGCTCCCTCCCCGCCAGCAGACAGACTATGAGCGCCCTGCCCTAGCACACATTTGTTGGCATGGTGACGGCCTCTTTGGGGCTGAACTGCTTTAACTAAGTATTTGGGCTGTAGATCCAGATAGATGCAGGTTCAAATCCTGGCTCCACCACTTCCAGCTGTGGGACCCTGGGTCATAATGAAGGGCATCTCTGAGCCCAGGCTCAGGCTCCAGATGGCCAGGGTTCAAATCCTAGCGGCTTGCTGTGTGAACCTGGCAAGTGACTTCATCCATCACTGTGTACCTCACTGTCCCTGTCTGTAAAATGGGAGGATACCTAAGAGGTCCTATCTCATGAGGTTGCTATAAGGATGAACTCAGTCAACACATGTAACTCTCTGAGCCCAGCAAACGGAAAGAGCTCAGCTGGTGTTCCCCTTTGCTATTAATTTTATCACTTGCCAACTATTCTAGTTTGGATCTTTCAACAGGCAAAATCCACAGTCCATCAGTCACTAAAACCATCTAAGAAGCAAAGCAGCTGGGTCACGCCTGTGCTTCAAAACCTTTCATTCATTTGTTCAACACAGAGGTCCCTGCTGCTGTCTCCCTGCTCATCCTAGCCTTTCCGGGTGCCCCCCTTTCTTTCTTCCCAGCCTTTGCTCAAGCCATTCTCTCTTCTGTCCCATCCTCTTCCCAGGGCTTACGCCTCCCTATCCTTTTAAGACTTGGCATCACCTTCTCCAAGAAGCCTTCCCTGATGTCAGCGTTCCCTCATTGACACCAATTCTGGCTCATGTCACTGCCTAGTTTCGTTTCTCCCTTCCTGATTTAATACAATCAGCATGTGTGCCAGCTCCCTGGCTGGACCCACAGTGGAGAATGAATAAGTGAATGAGGTTGGATCATAGGTGTGGGTGGGCACTTCCCAGTCCCTTCTGCCCCTGAGGGGGTTCTCTATGGGTGGCCAGTCCCCTATGTTCTTCCTCCCCTCACCCTGTCCTTTGAGGGAAGGGGGCAGATTACCTGGGCAGGCAGGTCATTACTCAGTTCCTGTCCATCTTTCTGCTTTACCTCTGGTGGGGAGACAATGTATAAGTGAAGGGCCCCTGAGGCGCTGTGGACAGCGTTTCAGGCCCCAGAGCCCAGTAAAGACCATTTCCGAGGCTGGGATCCCACAGGCGGCTGTTTTAGCGCCTCTTCCCACCCTCAGCGCTCTTACGCACGGTCCCCCAATTCCAGGGCTCCCGCCGGCTCACCGTACACGATGGAGCGCCCCACTCCAGTGTGGTCGCTGCCAAACTTCCTCATCAAAGCCCCTGCCTTCCGGGTGGACACCTTCCCATGAAACTTCTCCCGAAGGCGCCGGACGCTCTTCTCCAGCTTCGACAGGGATAGAGGGGCTCCGATAGGGTATGGAAAGGCGCGAGCGCCCCTCCCCCAGCCCCAAGGACCGTTCACCTGGCCTGAACTTGACCCTCGGGTTTGGTTTCTGCCTCCCCCCCCATCTTTCTACGGCATTTCCTGGAAAAAGCCAAAGTCCCCACAGGGCATTAAGGGATAGAATGGGAAGGGACTGGGGCGAGCGTCCCAGGCTAAGGGGAGGCCAGCCAGGTAACCTCTGGCCTTTGACCCCTGATCCTGCAGCCCCCGCTTTTGCTCGGGGAAGCCGCATTGTGCTCTGGGGAATGTGGGGGCTCACTCTCATTTCCTAGAGGTGCGCGCGCCCAACAGCGGGAAGGTCTCAGCTGATGATGGGGGTCCCCGGGAACTGCGACGCCCCCTCCGTGGTCCCGGCCCCTCCCCGGCGTCTCTCGCGGGCCCCCAGCACGACTGTCGCCATCTCCTACCTCCACACCTTCCTGAGACATGGTGGAGGCGGCTTCGCAAGTCGCCGCGAGGGTCCGCACCGCGCACCCGGCCGCCCCCCTACCTGGGCGCGCCCGTCGGTCCAGCGGCCGCGCAGGGCAGGGGGCGGCGCCTCGAACCCGCCCTTCCTTCCTTCCTGGCCCCCTGTTTCGCTTTCGTTTCGGGGGGGGCGGGGCGCCTTGGCTCCGCCTTGGCTCAGCCCCCGCTCCTGCGCCCCAAACCCAGGCGGGCGCCCAGGGTCCGCGCCCTGCGGCGGAGCGCGCAGACCTCGGGTGGGGGAGGCGGCGCGGCCTCTGCAGTCGGTCACATGTCCCCACGCTGCGCGGGGTCCGCGTCTTCACGTCCCTCGTGGGGGCGGGGCCCCATAGCAAGGCCGCGGCGAGTCCCCAGACCTCCCCAGTTCGCCCCCCGGGTTCACCACTTCCCTACCTTTTGGTCTCCTTCCCCCAAGGAATCAGGGGCTAATTAAGACCTGGGCCTCTTCCTGGCGCAGAGTTGCTGGCCTGGCAATGAACTCTCCTTGACCCTCAGTTTACATCTCTGTAAAATGGGGATGATGGTAGTGGCTACATTCTGGCAGCGGGGCGGGAGATCGGACAGAGAACTGAGCAGCGCCTGGCTCGCCCTTAAGCGCTCAAATAGTCGTTGAGTCCCGTACTGAGTGCCAGGTCCGAAGAGGCGAGTAGGCTAAGGGAGGGATGCTTGTTAAAAATACAGATCCCTGGTTCCTAGCAGCCTTCGGATTCAGACTGGTGTAGTGGTTCCAGGAAATTTGCATTGTAGATCTGAAGGTTGAGAATCCCTTGGGCTAAGATGATTCTAACCCAGTACCGGGGGACTGGAGGCTCCCCTAACAGGAGCTCTGGCGTGGCTGGGACCATCAGGGATGGTTTCTTAGGGCAGGGGCAGTCTAGTACACAGCGCCTGAAGTTTGAGGTCTTGGAGCGGCGAAGAGTAGAGTATGGGGAGAAACGGCGCGGGAAAAGACGCCAGAAGCAATTGAGAGCCTGGTGCTTTGGACAGAGTTCCTCATCTTTGACACGATCAGCACTTTGCGCAGGTTACTTCTTTGGCTGCTCTGTGAATTGAAGGCTGATTAACAGCACCCCTGGCCTCTGCCCACTGGATGCTAGTAGCACCCTTCCCCAGTTGTGACAATCAACGATATCTGCAGACATTGCCAAATATCTCCTAGCGTGCAAAATCACCTTAGGTAACAGATTCCAACTTTTTCTCGATCGTGCACCCCTGTCAGTGAAAGAGAGAGAGAGAGAGTGAGAGTGAGTTCTGGGTGATGCAAACTGTGCTAGTCTCCTAACTTAAAGGATGGCAGTTTGAACTCACCTAGCAGCACTGCGGAAGAAAGGTCTGGCAATCTACTTCTGTAAAGATTACAGCCAAGAAAACCCCGTGGAGTAGTTCTACTTTGTAGCACACATGGGATCTCTGTGAATTGGAATTCACTTGATGGCATCAAGTTCTGTTTATCAATAACAATGTTGGATCTTTTCCCTCTTTGTTGATGTTAGATGCTGTTGAGCCAACCTGATTCATAGCTACCCCATGTACAACAGAACGGAACCCTGCCGGTCCCGGGCCATCCTCACAAGCCCTGCTGTGCTTGAACCCATTGGTGCAGCTACTGTGTCAGTCCCTCTCATTGAGGACCTTCCCCCTTTTAGCTGACCCCCTACTTTACCAAGCATAAGATCCTTCTAGATGCCACAGTCTACTTCCGTAGCGATACTGCCTCGGAAACCCAAGGAAGGGTCGCTATGAGTCCGGTCCGACTCGACGGCACATAACAACAACAACAAGATCCTTCTCCAGGAAATGGTCCCTTCTGACAACATGACCAAAGTAGGTGAGACGAAGTCTGGCCATTCTTGCTTCCAAGGAGCATTCTGGCTGCACTTTTTCCAGGACAGATTTGTTCATTGTTTTGTCAGTCCATGGTGTTTTCAGTCTTTGCCATCACCACAATTTAAAGGCATCAACTCTTCTTTGGTCTTCCTTATTCATTGTCCAGCTTTCACGTGCATATGAGGCAATTGAAAATACCATGGCTTGGGTTGTTGTTGTGGTGGTTGTTATTTGCCATGGAGTCGGCCCCGACTCATAGCAACCCCTCCTTGGGTTTCCGAGGCAGTATCACTACGGAAGTAGCATTGCCCAACCTTCCTTCTGAGGAGTGGCTGGTGGGTTTGAGCCGCCAGCTTTCTGGTTAGCAGGCAAGTGCATTCACCTAAATCTTCAAAGAGACATTTTTGCTCTTCAGCACCTTAAAGAGGTCTTCTGCAACAGATTTACCCAGTGCAATACGACATCTGATTTCTTGACTGCTGCTTCCAGGGGTGTTGATGTGGATCCAAGTAAAATGAAGTCCCTGACAATTTCAGTCTTTTCTCCATTTATTGTGATGTTGCTTATTCGTCCAGTTGTGAGGATTTTTATTTTCTTTATGTTGAGGTGTAATCCATACTGAAGACTGTAGTCTTTGATCTTCATCAGTATGTGCTTCAAGTCATCTTCACTTTCAGCAAGCAAGGCTGTGTCATCTGCATATCACAGGTTGTTAATCAATCTTCCTCTGATCCTAATGCTGCATTCTTCTTCATATAGTCTAGCTTCTTGGATTATTTGTTCAGCATACAGATTGAATAAGTATGGTGAAAGGATACAACCCTGATCCACTCCTTTCCTGATTTTAAACCATGTAGTATCCCCTTGTTCTGTTTGAATGACAGCCTCCTGGTCCATGTACAGGTTCCTCATGAGCACAATTAAGTGTTCTGGAATTCCCATTCTTCACAATGTTATCCCTAATTTGTTATGATCCACACAGTTGAATGCCTTTCCCTAATCAATAAAACACAGGTAAACATCTTTCTGGTATTCTTTGCTTTCAGCCAAGATCCTCATTCTGTGTTCACTTCTGAATCCAGCTTGAATTTCTGGAAGTTCCGTGGTTGCAACCGTTTTTGAATTATCTTCAGCAAAATTTTTTGTGTGATATTAATGATATTGTTATATAATTTCCACATTCTATTAGGTCACCTTTCTTTGGAATGGGCACAAATATGGATCTCTTCCTGTCAGTTGGCCAGGTAGCTGTCTTCCAAATTACTTGGCATAAATGAGTTCCTTGAAAGTTGCATCCGTTTGCTGAAAGACCTCAGTGGGCATTCCATCAATTCTTGGTGCTTTGTTTTTCACCAGTTCCTTCAGTGCAGCTTCGACTTTTTCCTTCAGTACCATTGGTTCTTGTTCATATGTCACCTCCTGTAATAGTTGAACACTGACCAATCTTTTTGTGCAGTGACTCTGTGTATTCCTTCCATCTTCTTTTGATGCTTCTTGCCTCATTCAATATTTTGTCCACAGAATCCTACAGAATTGCAACTTGAAGCTTGAATTTTTCCTTTAGTTCTTTCAGCTTGAGAAGTGCTGAACATGTTCTGCCCTTTTGGTTTTCTAACTCCAGGTCTTTGCCAATTTCATTATGATACTTTACTTTGTCTTCTTGAGCTGCACTTTACAGTCTGCTGTTCAGATCAAATAATCAAGTTCTTCCATTTGTTTTAGCTACTCTCCATTCAAGAGCAAGTTTCAGAGTCTCTTCTGACATCCATTTTGGTCTTTTCTTCCTTTCCTGTCTTTTTAATGACCATTTGCTTTCTTTGTGTATGATGTTCTTGATGTCACTTGTCTTGTCTTTGGTCACTGGTGTTCAGTGCATCAAATCTGTTCTTCAGATTGTCTCTAAATTCAGGTGGGATATACTCAAGGTCATATGTTGGCTCTCATGGACTTGTTTTAATTGTCTTCAGCTTCAACTTGAACTTGCGTATGAGTAGTTGATGTCTGTTCCCCAGTCAGCTCCTGGTTTTGTTTAGAAGATATTGAGGTTCTCCATTGCCTCTTTCCACAGATGTAGTCAATCTGATTCCTGTTTATTCCATCTGGTGAGGTCCATGTGTACAGCTGCCATTTATGTTGTTGAAAAGGTATCTGCAGTGAATAAGTCATTGGTCTTGCAAAATTCTCTCATGTGATCTCTGATGTCAATCTGTCACCAAGGCCATATTTTCCCACTACTGATGATTCTTTTTTGTTTCCAACTTTTGCATTCCAATCACCAGTGATTATCAATACATCTTGATTGCATGTTTAGTCAATTTCAGACTGCAGGAGTTGGTAAAAATCTTAAATTTCTTTATCTTTGGCTTTAGTGGTTTGTAAATTTGAATAGCAGTAGTATTAACTGGTCTTCCTTGTAGGCCAATGGATATTATTCTATCAGTGACAGCATTGTACTTCAGGACAGATTTTGAAACACTCTTTTTGATGATGAATGCAATGTCATTCCTCTTCAATTTCTCATTTCCAGCACAGTAAGCCATATGATGGTCTGATTCAAAATGGCCAAAACCAGTCCATTTCAGCTCACTAATGCCTAGAATGTCAGTCTTTATGCATTCCATTTCATTTTTGACAACTTCCAATTTTCCTAAATTTGTACTTTGTACATTCCATGATCTGATTATTAATGAATGTTTGGAGCTGTTTCTTCCCATTTTGAGTCATGCCATATCAGCAAAGGCCCCAAAAGCTTTACTCCATCCATGTCATTACGGTTGACTCTGCTTTGAGGAGGCAGCTCTTCCTCAGTCATATTTTGAGTGCCTTCCAACTCGAGGGACTTATCTTCTGGCACTATTATCACACAGTGTTTCAGGGCTATTCATAAATTTTTTCTAGTAATATATTAGATAGTGTTTCACTGCTATTTATAAGGTTTTCACTAGCGATTTTTTTCAGTTGTGAATGGCCCCATCCTTCTTCCCAGTCTGTCTTAGTCTGCCCTCATATAGATACTTGTTTATTTATAAATCATATACAAACATGACAATACTAATATATTCTTTATTTTAGGGGAAAAAAAGGAGAATATACATGTTCTTATGTTTTCTACTTGAACCCCAAAAGTTGGTTTGTGAAGTGTGTGCACCCTACTCTGGAGACTACTGTTAGCAGCTGCAAGCAGTGCATGGTTCTTAGTCACTGAGTAGGATCAGGGAAGACCACAGGAAATGACTTTAGTTTTTTGGGGTGGGGGAGAACAGAAGGCATTTTTATTTCTTTGGCTAAGGAAGGGAATAGCCTGGGCTAGTGCCTCCAAGACTGCATGAGGGAAAGCTCCTTCAAGTTTTTCTCTCTCTCTCTCTCT